TCTATCTATCTATCTATCTATCTATCTATCTATCTATCTATCTATCTGCCTGTCCATCCGTCCACCTATCTATCTATCTATCTTTTTGAGATAGGGTCTCACTCTATTGCCGAGGCTGGAGTGCAGTGGTGCAATCACGGCTCCCTGCAGCCTCGGCCTCCCAAGCTCAAGCAATCCTCTCACCTCAGTCTCCCAAATAGCTGGGACAGGCATGTACCACCACATCCAGCTAATCTTTTTTTTTTTTTTCTGTAGAGACAGGGGTCTCATTACGTTGCCCAGGATGGTCTTGAACTCCTGGGCTCAAGTGATACTCCCACCTCAGCCTCTCAAAGTGCCGGGATTACAGGTGTGAGACACCATGCCTGGCCCTAAACTGCCCTTACAAGATGCCTGTCTAAACCAGCTACTGCAGCTAACAGAAACAGCTTCATTTAGTAGTTTTTGAAAACATTAGCCCTAAGGTTAAAGTCACAAAGATTTTCAAAAATGCAGTCCAAAAAGGTAGTAGGAAGTAAAGGCTTCAGCCTGGCCTTCAGTGAGAAGCACTTGGAGTATTTGTCACAATGCTCTTAGTTGCTCTATTTTAACATAGGCTAAACAGAGGTAGAAAAGAAAGGTCCAGAGAAATAAATAAAAAAGCAATGAGGTTCCTGTTGGTCCATTTTATAAAAAAGATGGAGAATATAAAGATTTGAATCTGAAAAACATAACACAGCAGAGACACCAAACTTCTTTCATCCCCCACACCCCCAAACTGACAAAATGTGCCAAGGGCTAAACATGAATTTGTTACCAACACTAGAAACTGGAACTAAGAAGACAGGGTCTTCAAATTTGAGAGAGAATTTCTTTTAACTTGAGATAAAGGTATTCACAGAACAAGTAATCGGCCATGGAAGTTGTTATATCCAGAGCAGCAGTATAGGCTAAAAATATGGAAAGGTCAAGAAGGGTTTAGCTCAATTTATAGATACAGGATCTGTAACCTGTCATTAAGGAAATGAAAGTGTCTGGTGCTGAGGCTTGACAACCAAGCACACAGGCAGGCATTCCAATGACATGTCTCCTGGTGCCATCACCAGAGACAGGCTCCCGGGCAGATGGGCCCAGCTGGTGATTGATCTGATTACATGCCTTTTACTTGCCCTCTCCTTCTCCTCACTGTCCTGTTTCAGCCTTTATTCTGCAGCCTGTTGAGTGGTAGCATGGTGACTGCAATGCCTGGGAAACAAGCCCTGGTTTATAGGCTCACTTGACCATTACATACTGCTGAAGTTCATTCACAGGTCCATCCCTTTGCCCCAGGGTGGTATCTCTGCCCACAGGCACTCCCATGGAGCATCCAACTTCTTGTGGTCCACTCTCAACCTTTCTACAGAACAAAGAACATCTGAGGAGTCCATTCTGTCAAATGGGGAAATACTTCCATCTCCTCCTACCTGACCTGTTCTATGAGCAAAGTAGCCCAAGTTATCTCTAGGGGAGGACTTGCTGGGATGGCAACAGTGATAGAGAAGGACAAGAGAAAGAAAGAATTTGGCTAAAGCTATATGCTAGGTAGTCTGCCTAAAACAATGAGTTTGATTTTAATGCTTGTAATAATTCAAGAGTGATTGCCTCTGAAGACCTAGCTACCTATGCTAGAGATGGGATACTGAGCCACAGCTAAGGGCAACTACAGCTGACCTAAAATTGTCTGTTCTGCTCCTGGGAGAAAACAGGCAGTGGTGGCCAGGTTTCTGCCACAGTGAGGACTTCTGTCCCACCTGGAGCTCAGGGCACAAGTAGTCTCAGAGGACAAAGGGAAAGGTATATGGGGATAGAGCAACAAATGTTCCCATAGTCGATCCAAGGATGGGGAATAGAAATGCAAATAGATTCAAATATGTGATGAAGTGTGGAGGAAGGTCATCCTCATATTTAAAATGAGCACATTTCCTGGGCGCTGGATCTGAGACCATATACTCATAATCTGCCCCTCTTCTGTGCACCTATAAACACTCTTTTCACACTCCCTGCATGGCATTCATCACATAGTATTGTAACCACTGATTTGAATTCAGGCAAATATTTATTGAACATCTACTACATGCTAAATATTTGCAAAGTGCTGGAGAAATAAGGATGAATAAGACAAGGCTCCCTGGCCTCCATAATCTAAGCCAAAATGGGTCTCTTGTAGAGAGACAGGGTACAATGGAGGATGAACAAAAGGAGCAGGTGGCTCTATGGTGGGGTGGAGAAGCAAATGAAAGACTTAATGAAAGAGGCAATGCTCGAACTGAGAACAGATAAATAAGGAGAGTTTCACTGGATATGCCAATGGGAGCACATTCCAGGCAGGAGCAGCATTGTGAATATAGGGTGAAAGAGCGAATGACATGGGGGCAGCCTGGGAACCTGAAAGTAGCCTGGTGTGGGCAGAGTACAGAGTGTGAGGGAAGGGGGTTGGCAAATAACTGTGTGTGAGTCTGGGTGAGTAGGTATTAAAGGAAGAGGGAGTGAGGAGTGAAAATAGAATCCTGGAGAAGTTTGCAGGGATCAGATCATAAGGAACCTTGTCTGCATGGCATTCAGAAGTAGAGACTTGGCTGGGAATGGTGGCTCATGCCTGTAATGCCAGCAGTTTGGGAGGCTGTGGTGGGAGGATCATTTGAGCTCAGGAGTTTGAATCGAGCCTGGGCAACAAAGCGAGACCCCCATCTTTATTAAATAAAAAATAAAAATTAAATTAAAAATAAAGAAGTAGAAACTTTACCTTCTAAGACCAATGAGGGGACAATTTGAGCAGGGAAATAACATGTTTTAAGACTTAGAAATGTCAGTCTTAATGCTCCAAAGATATTTTCATAATTTGGGACAATGTCTCTGATGTGATAGTAAAGAGAAACAGAACTTAAACTTTAAGTATTCCATGATTAATTATACTATTTTTAAAAGGGTCTAGAAGAAAATATATCAAAATTTCAACACTGAATATGTCTAGATGATGATTTATATTTATACTGTTGTCATTTTTCCAAATTTTTTTGAATAAGCATATATTTCTTTTATTAGTCAGAAAAGAACTATTAATTAAAAAAAAAAAAAAAATGGAAAAGAGGCCGGGCGCAGTGGCTCATGCCTGTAATCCCAACACTTTGAGAGGCCGAGGCGGACCGATAACCTGAGGTCAGGAGTTCAAGACCAGCTTGGCCAACATGGTGAAACCCCATCTCTACTAAAAATACAAAAACTAGTCAGATGTGGTGGCGCAGGCCTGTAGTCCCAGCTACTTGGGAGGCTGAGGCAGGAAATCACTTGAACCTGGGAGGTGGAGGCTGCAGTAAGCCGAGATCACGCCACTGCACTCCAGACTGGGTGACACAGCAAGGCTCTGTCTCAAAAAAAAAAACCAAAAAACAAAAAAACAAAACACACACACACACACACACACACACACACACAAACCAGTAAAAGAAAGATCCCTCTAGCAAGAGATGTTAGACTAAAATCTGAGAGGAAATGACTGCCAACAGTCCAGGGAGGAGAGGATTTTGAGCATTAACCCTAGAGACTGCGAGCTCCATATAAGGAAAATTCTATGCTTGATTTCAAAGCCTGGTGTACAGGAGGACTCCAAGAATTTATTAAATATGCTATGTAACTCTTGGGAAGGGATCAAAGCTCATGCGATGAGACAATGGGTAAGCTGGCTGGTCCAGTACCACCTACCACACCAACCAATCACCTCTTAGTTGCTCCTCTTTGATAAAAATTTGCATATCACAACTGTTAGGATGGCTATTATGAAAAAAATAACATATTGGGGTTTAATTCCTAGACAGGGAGGTGGCAAAAAAAATAAAAATAAAAAATAAGAGATAACAAATGCTGGCAAGGGTGTGAAAAAAAGGGAACCCTAGTACATGTTGGTGGGAATGTAGATTTGTGTAGACATTGTAGAAAACAGTATGGAGGTTCCTGAATAAATTAAGAATAGAATT